ACACACACGCGCGCGCGCGCACACACACACACACACACACACACACACACACACACACACACACACACACCATTACCAATCCGTTGTATGACAGGTATATTGTTGTTGTGACGTACGATCACAGAGCGTATTATAGGTAGCGTCGCCACAGTTACCTTGAAAAACTAACTTAGTGACTTGACGGATCTCTTCAATTGAAAGAGCAAAGAGCAAGTCCAAAACGGGCTTTGTGCTGCTGACATTCAGCAGTCACGTCAAATCATTCACTCAAATGGCCTCGAAGCAGCTGAAAAACGTATTTTGAGAGAGCGAGAGAGAGCGAGACAAAGAGAAGGAGAGTCCAGCCGGTGAGTTGAGCGCGTGCGCATCTACCTGGTGGGTTCATCAAAGAACATGACGGGCGGGTTGTTGACAAGCTCCAGGGCGATGGCCAGTCTTTTCCTCTGCCCCCCCGACAGGTGAGAGGTCCTGGTCGAGAGGCAGTCCAGTAAACCCAAAGCCATCAGGATCTCGCACACCTGACACGGCGGAAGCACGCCGTGAGCACGACGGAAGCTTCCCCAAAAGTCGCTCTCGGCCTTCCGGAACCTTCCCGAAGGCCGGAGATGAGACTTTGGAGTCACCTTCTCCTTGCGAGCGTCTTCCTTCTCCTGAAGTTTCAGGTTGGCGGACACCTGCGGAAGCGACAGAGATGAGGGCGCGTACAGCCGACGGGAGGTTCTGCTTGCGCTCGGCCTGGCAAAGATGCCTTTGATTGTGCTGTGTCGTGCGCGCTACCGTCATGGCTTCCTGCACGGTCAGGTGCGGCAACAACATGTCGTCCTGCATGATGTAACAGGAAACTTTGCGGAAGGATCGCAGATCTCGGGGCTGACCGTTGATCAGGATTTCACCCTTCATTCCCGTCTCCCTGTGAGCAAGAACACAAACGTCCCGAGCCGCGGGCGTGCGCACACCCGCAACCGACATCAATCTCCACAAAGACAGACGCAACGCTTGTGGAACTAGTCGCATATCTTGAATGCCAAGAGAATAAAGCAATCTCGGACCGGCGCCATATTGTAACATTGCGAACCCGAAGCGCGCATCTCGATGACAGACAGCGCGATGTCCCGAGGAGGGAGCGCAATCGGCTAAAATGGCTCACCGACAGCACAACGGCCTGCGGCCAAAACCCCGAAGGACCGCGGCCGGCGCGGACGACCCCGATCTAGAAACGCAACCAACCAGAACCACGACCGAGCAGAAACAAAGGCATCCCTGCGGCCAAAAGACTTGCAGGACCGCACACGGGCCTCGACCCGCAACCATCAAGAGCCCCTCGTTTGTCTGACTCCGGCCACGTGCGAAGCCAACGGTCGGCGGCCAAACCGACCGATCTCAAAAATCACGCGCAGGCGCACCGGTGCCGATCCATTCCGATCCCCGCTCCTCGCCCGCCCCGACGTCGAGCCGCAGTGCCCGGCGCAAAGGCGTGGACCCGACCCGTCCTACTCTCGACCCGTCCCGGGCTTCGGATCCATCCGGCCTGATCCGGGACCACACGGATCCAAAACGATACGGCAGGTAGAAGCGCAGCGCGGGTCTAGCGCTCGGTGTCGGGGTGACGCGCGTTTCCTGTCGGCCGACCTGTAGCCCGCCAGGACGTTCATGAGGGTGGACTTCCCGGCCCCCGAGGGCCCCATGATGGCCACCAGGTCTCCGCTGCTGAACTTGCCCGAGATCCCTCTCAGCAAAGTCTTGTTACCTGAGAAGACGGCAGACAAAGGCCGCCGCTTTAGCCTTTTTGTTCACTGAAATCATTCATTGATTTGCCCCCACCCCCACGCCCATCCTGGTGTCGCATGACCAACCGGTTGAACCGCACCCGAAAAAGAACATCCGCCGTACTTTGCTTTGTACCTTTTGCATACACACGTTTTGCTTTTTGTAAGAAGAGTCAACGTTTGGTTTCTTTTCAGAAGAAACGTGAAAAGAAAACGGTGAAGGTCTGTTTGTGGCTGACGGAGGCCCGAGTCCATTTAAACAGATCAAAAGATTAAACGGGTCCATTCCGCTTGTAGCGCGCCCGCCCTCGCGCACCAGAGTTCGTTTCGGTGTCGTGCGAGAACGGCCCCGTTGGCCCCGTAACGGCCGCGAGGGTCCGCACGCTCGAAACAGAACACGGCCGAGTTTCGGTCACGTGACGCCAGGCAAGACTGATCGCAGCGGGGCAAGAGAAAATGTCACGTCAGTTCTCATGACGTTGCGGCGGCCTGTCGGTCAACTCTTTGTGGGAGGGGCTGAGAGCTTTCGAGTTGCGAAAATTCCCCAGAATGCTCCCGATTGTGAGCGCGGCCGCGGTTGGATTGGCGTGTTGTTGCTAACGTGGATGTCTAATCTTGCTCGTGGCCAGGACTCCTGCTATTTGCAGATGCGGATTAACAGATTACACGCACGCACGAGGTACAGGTGGTGGGGTGAGATACAGGTTTGCCTTTGAGTTCTATTCTCCAAAAAGCGAGCGAGCCTCCGGTCGTTGAAGAGAGGCTTTTCCAGTTGCCGAGTGTCGTGCGCGGTCCTTACCGGCGTTCCTCCACCAGGGTCCTTCCTTGACCGAGTATTCCAGGTCTCGGAAGTGGATGTCGACGGCCGGCCTCCGCGGCAACGACCACAACCGCCGAGCCTCCGTCAAGCCCGCGTCGGCCATCTTGTTCCGGGGCCGTATCTGCGGCGGCGCCCCGCGTTTGGCCGCGCGCTCCGCGTACCGCTCGACGAAGATGAACGGCGACGGCGGCTCGAGCAGCAGGTCCGGAGGTCCGTTGGTGTTCTGATCAGACATAGTCGGTTGAGCGGGCAGACGGCGGGACGCGCCGACTCAAAAGGACAATCGCAATCACGTCACCGCCGATCAAATTCAAGGCCGGCTCTTCGGTTGGCGATGTTTCAGCTCAAATTGTCCGAATGTGGCCAATTCCGGCTCCTCGACGGCAGGCTTCGCATTTCTGTCGTCCGAAAATGAGAGCGGGCAGAGCAGCGTGGCCACTTTTGCCCAAATCGTTTGCATTTGCAAACACTTTGGAAAACAGCGAATGCCGATTTTCTGACCGACGTTACCGACCAACCGAGACTCCATTGATGTTTGTGAAAACGCCGCACTTTGTCACAAATTGACAAAAGGGCCCGTTTTTCAAAACAGGGATGCAAAGGGGGGGGGTTAAATCCAATTCATCCATGAATGGAAAAACGTAATTGGCAGATGAATGAGGACGCAAATGAGCCTTAATGACAGGAGATGTCATCGGAATGGCAGGGCGGAAGGGCGAGCGAGCGGCGGCGGCGGCGGCGCGTCCTACCATGATGATGGCGTTGGTGACGGCCGGGTTGTGAGCGGAGCAGAGCGCCACCAAGCAGGCCATCCCCACCGCCGGCGACGAGTGAGCGGCGAGGGCCGCCCGCCGTTCCGAGCCTCCGAGGCCGCGCCCACGGCCAATCCGCTCAGGCGCGTGGGCGGAGGGCCGGGCCTCGCCGCCTCCTCCCCCTCCTCCTCCTCGCAGGAAAAGATCAGGTCAGGTCAAAGGTTCGTCTTGGGGTCACCTCCGGCAAACTGGAAGCGGTTTCCAAAGCAAACTTGAAAAGTCGGCCCACACCGGGAGGCGGCGGGGGTGGCACGCCCACCGATAGGCGGCAGGTGTTCAGGGCGCCCGGGCGGCCCCTCAAACGGGTCAAGGGGTGAAAACGTTTTGCCGTCACCTGCAAGATCGTGACATTGGTTTGTCGAGTTCACTCCAGTACAGGGCTGCCCAACCGTTTTTGACCCAAGATCGACTTTTGAAGCGACCAACTTCCCACGATCGACCCGATTGCGAGCGTGCAAGCGTACGCGCTCGCACTCCACAATGAGCAACATCCCGAAAATGAACGAAACGGAAACCTACACGCGCACAAATCTTCCCCCCACCCACGATCAAAAGCCACATTTGCCTCTCCCCAGCCACCTGCTCCCGTTCTTGTCGGGGGATCCCGAGGCGTTCCCGGGCCGGCCGGAAGACAAGGTCGCCCCCGTGGCCTCCTGCCGCGGCGGGACGTGCCCGAGCGCCCCACCGGGGTGGCCTCCTAATCAGATGGCCCAGCCACCCCATCGGGCTCCTCTCCACGTGGAGAAGCGGCTCCGCTCTGAGCCCCTCCCGGATGAGTCAGCTTCTCGCCTTATCTCCGAGGGAGAGCCCCCCCCGGCACCCTGCGGAGGGAGGAAACTGACTTGGGCCGCTTGTATCGGGGATTTCGTTCTTTGGGTCACGACCCAGAGCTCGTGCTCACGGGCGAGGCTCGGAACGCAGACGGAGCGGGAAAGCGAGAGCCTCGTCTTTTTGCTCAGATCCTTCTTCAGCAGACGCCGCGCCGATCCGCCCGGCCATCCGCCCGCTCTCGCTTGCCCTCAGCCGTCAACGGGACCCCGAGACGTTGAAACTCCTCCGCTCGGGACCAGATCTCCTCCCCGACCCGGAGAGGGCACGCCGCCCTTTTCCGACCGAGGACCACCGTTTCACATTCGGAGGTGCCGACTTTCATCCCGACTCGGCTGCGGCGAGAGTCGGAGAGCCCCGCTTGAAGAAGCCAAGCGCGCCACCCCATCTGCAAAAAGCAGACACGCAAGACCGAGGCCACCCGAGCGCCTCGGCCGCACCCGCAAATGACTGCGGCCGGCAGCCGGCAAGTCAACTTTGCCACAACGCTCAAAATTCGGGAGGGTTGCTCTTAGAGCGCAAACAAAATGCACAGCCGAGAGCGAACATGAAGCCGACGCGCGTCTTTGTTGAAGCAAACATTGTGAAAGCGGATTGAGAAGGCGTTGTTGGATTTGTTTTCATTGAGGGCATTCGACGGGCCAGGCGCGTCGACACGCTTGAGTGGAGGAGCGCTGGGGTTGGTTTTTGGCCCGACGCAGTGACGCCATCTTGCGGCGAGGCCGCGTTTGCAGAGGGCAATAAGGCCGAAGCGCCCCCCCCTCCGCCCC